TTCACCGAGGTCCGCCCAGCTGAGCCCACCCTCACCCCTCCCCCCGGGGCCGGAGCAGTGGGGATCCCTGGTCCCGAGGCACCAGGGCTACAGGAAAGGGCTGGGGGTGAGAAGCAGCCAGAGGCACGGGTTCCACCAGGGGCGGCTCAGCCTCACGGGGCACCTGCAGGGAGGGAGGGGCTGGGGACAGAAACGGAGTGAACTCCGAACTCGGTGGGTGGCCAGGCCCTGAGAGTGGATTCCACAGGCAGAGTAGAAAGGGCAGGGGGAGGAAAAGGCAGGGTTTGGGGGTCAGGCTGGCTTGGGGTGTAGCCCTGCTAACCTCTCTGGGCCTCAGTTTTCTCACCTGCCAAATAAGAACCGTCACCTCGCCTGTAGTTCCTAGCCTCCCCCCATTTCCGTCCCCCCCTCACCTCTCCTAAGGCCAGCTCCCCACTCCGCACCCCTGCATGCACCCTCCCCAGGCCAGCTCCCCACTCTGCACTCCTGCACGCACCCTCCACCCAGCAGCCAGGGCCCGACCTGAAACACAGCCCACCAGAGTCTCTCTTGCTTCCACGGGACCCTGCCAGGCAGAGGGCCGGCCGTGTGGCTGGCACCTTCACTGGACTCCCCTCCCCACCGCAGGCCCTTAGGGAGCCTCTAAACCAGGCCTCGGACTGGGCAGACAGTCCCAGTGCCATGCGACAAGCAACACATCAGCCGGACTGTCACCTCCCTGGTTCTGGCCCTCTGCCTCGGTGATTACACCCACATGCAGGGGACAGAAATACCAACAGGACATCCCCGTGGTCTGGGCAGGCCTCCCCAGCAGTGCGCATAAGGGGATTTTCTTTTTAACTGAAAAGGCGAGAATTTGCCTTTATCCTTTTTTATTTCAACCTGTGGTTTGAGTCTCACAGCTCAGCACGAGGCGGAGCGGTCAGCGGAAGCCTCTCTTCCAGCTCTGCGTCACCAGCCATCTAAACGGCGGGACTGGCCCGTCATCACCGCGATGTGGAGCAGGACAGAGACCTTGGCCCCTGTCATAGGCCTTCTTCCGGGGAGTAGAGAGTTTTTAAAATGCAGATCTCACAGGACACCAGTGTCCCCTCGCTGCCTTCGATCACCGTCGGGTAAAGAGCAGCCTCCTCGCACAGCTACGGAGCCCCGTGTGCCCAGCCCCTCCGCCTCCCCAGCCCCATCTTGGACAGCTCTCCACCTGTAGGTCCAGTCACACCCACACCGGCTTCGCTTTCTGCTCCTCAAACGAGCCTTACTCCCTCTGCCTCAGGACCTTTGCACATGCTGTCCCATCCCTCTGAAATGCTTTTCCCTTCCCTCTGTGCTTAGTGGATTCTTATTCGTCTTTCATCTTAGAGCTCAAACGTTATCTCCTCTGGCCCGGCCGGTGTGGGTCAGTGGTTGAGCATCGACCTATGAACCAGGAGGTCACAGTTCGATTCCTGGACAGGGCACATGCCCGGTTTTTGGGCTCGATCCCCAGTGTGGGATGTGCAGAAGGCAGCCGATCAATGTTTCTCTCTCCTCACCGATGTTCCTATCCCCACCTCTCTCTCCCTTCCTCTCGACATCAATAATAAAAAAATTTTTTAAGGTATCTCCTCTAGGCAGCCTTCCATGACTAGGCAATCCCTAGTGCGGTGGTTCTCAACCTGTGGGTCGCGACCCCTTTGGTGGTCAAACGACCCTTTCACAGGGGTCACCTAAGACCATCCTGCATATCAGATATTTACATTACGATTCATAACAGTAGCAACATTACAGTTATGAAGTAGCAACAAAAATAATGTTATGGTTAGTCACAACCTGAGGAACTGTATTTAAAGGGCCAGAAGGTTCAGAACCACTGGCCTAGTGTAAGCCATCTGGGTTCACAGCCAGTGGAGACACCCTAAGCATCTCCAGGCAGAGCGAACGTGTGATGACCTGTGCCCCGCCAGGCTCCACAAGGCCAGGGACCGGGCTGGGTCATGCTGCCTCCCAGCCTCCAGCCAGGGCGGGCCCCTGGTAAGCCCTCGAGGACTCGTACTAGAATAAATGAACAACACAGTGACCCACTAGCCAGCAGAGTTAGAATGAGTAGAGAGGGCTTAGCCACAGCCAGCCTGCCATGGAAGAGCCTTGTTGTATAGAAAAGTAATCTGAGGCCCAGAGAGGGTAAGAGACCTGGCCCAGGCCACACAGCAAACCTGAGCCAGCCCAGCCCCTAGAGTTATTTTCAAAAACAGCACATGGTCTCTGAGGCGCTGACAGATGGGTCCAAGATCCTACAGACAGGAGGGACTGGGCGCTGACCAGGAGGCCCTACTGGTCCATCAGCAGCTACAGCCTCCGAACCAGCCCCCAAGGGCCCTCTGGGTCATTCAGCCAACACCTGGCAGTGTGGAGAGACCAGCCAGGCTCTGCCCACTAGTGTGCCAGCCGCCCTTCCTGCCCTGGGCACTGGTCTCCACCACAGCCCCTGCCGGCCTCACCTTCTGCCCTGGAAGTAGACATACTCGAAGGGCAGCGTGCAGGGCAGCAGCAGGTAGGTCAACGCCTTCCCGGGCGTCGAGCGGCGGAAGCGGGCCCAGGGCCTGGGGTCCCTCCTACTTGTTTTCTCCAGGGCTGCAAGAGAAGGGGAGCGTGCCCACCAGCTCCACTCCACCCTGCCGCCCACAGGGGGTGCCCACCCCCACCCGCAGAGCAAGAAACACAGAGCAGGCCCCCACTGGGAGCCAGCAGGGGCCAGGCCCTCAGCTGTTCATCATCGTCCAAGAAATGGGCAGGGTGTGTCCCTTTCTCAGAAGACGAGACAGAGGTTCAGAGTGGAGGAGGGACTTGCCAAAGACCATCGCCAGGAGGTGGCAGGGCCAGGATGGACCCTTCTCCCGCCCCTCTCTCTGGAAAGTCTGCAGCGGCCGCCCAAGAAGGAACAGATGCCCACACCTCACCTCCCTCCATAACAGCAGCCCAGCGGTTACTAACCACAGCAGGGGCTGCAGCTGGGGCCGGGACCACCCCTTCCCCAGCCCTCTGTTCCCTTCATTGACCGGGTGGGAGGGGCCTGCGTCCTGGCTGGGGCAGAACCAGAGCCCAGATCCCTGCGCCAGACCATGGCCCAGCCACCTGCCCCCAACCTGACTCTGGCGGGTGCTTTTAGGCACAGACACTGTGGGCGGGGTGCACATACAGCAAGTCCGAGACAGCCCCCAGCCTGGACCGGACCGTGTCTTCCCTTCCCCAGCCTAGGCTGGCTCCCTGTAATGGCAGGACCCACCTCCTGGCAGGTAGGTGAGGACTAAGGGATGCCAGTGAGGGCCAGGCCAGATGACAATTCCCTTCCCGGAAGGGGGCGCCCCTCCCCAACCCCAGGTGCAGGCTGCAGTGCCCCATCGAAGAGGCGGCTCTCTGGTGCCCCCGTGTGGCCGCAGGGATGGGGCCAGGTTTGCAGAACGGCAATCTCGTACCCAGGGCTCAGCACACATTGGAGCCCATTTCTGCTTGCCCTGTGTGGTCCCTCATCCCTCCATCCCCTCGCCCACCTCACTGACCCTGCTCTGGCCTCACCACCACCATCTTTCCTCCCAGCCTCCTGCCTCTCAGCCTGTCCGCCCAAGCTAACAATAAAGGAACAACGCAGAGTGATCCATTCTTCAGTCATGGACTGGGCCTGGGCCTACGGTTCGCTGGGCAGTAATCACTAGGGGCTGCCCCTCAGTAAACCCCTCAGTGGCCCCATCTCTCTCCTCTAGGCCACATACCCAACCTTCCCAGCCTTTCTAAGCTCATCTCTGCTTCCTTGCCCCTCAACCACTGTGTTACAGACATGGGGGCCTCCAGCGCTTCTCCCCTCCACACGACCCCAGGACATTTGCACATGCTGTTGTCTTCCCCTCTCTTTGCCTGGCTAGCTCCTTCCATGTTTCACTTAGATGCTAACCCACCCCCACCAGCACCATTCCAGGTGACTGTGGGACACCTGTGATTGATTGCAGCTGTGACATCTAGGTCACCACGCAGAATGCCTAGGTCTGCCATGTGTGGCCATGTGACCTTGGGTAAGTTGCCTAACTGCTCGGTGTTCTGGTTTCCACATTCGTACAATGGGGACGACTCAGTGCCGTCCTCAGAGGATTGTTGAGATGATGAAATGAGTCTAGATCCTCTGTATGTGTCCCCCTCCCCGTGCCCCTCAGTACCTCCTGCCCCACCCCCCGGGCAGTGGGCAGAGGCCGGGCTTTCTCAGGCACAGACGTGGGTCCGGATCCCCCAGCTGCAGGCTCTGAGGCCTTGGTGCGTCCCTCCCCGCCCTGAGCTTGCAGCCTCATCGCCGAAATGGGGTGAGGAAACCCCCCGGGGCCCTCAGCGTAGTGAGAAGTGAGTGACACCGCATGTAAGAGCCCCTTGGCACCCCTGGCACTTAGCAGGAACTCAAAAAGGGTCCGCCCTCCTCCGGGCCGGAGCGCCTCCAGGGCAGGCGCCCACCCAAGCCCCTGGTGCCGTGCCCCGAGTGCCAGTGCCTGCTGGGCGAGCAAGTGCGGGAGGAGGGCAGTACCGGCCTCCAGCTCCGGTGACAGCTGCTTGAAGTTGGGCACGTCCTTGACCAGCACGCTGGGCACCGCCCAGTTGAGCGACAGGCCGGCCTTCTGGCCTCCGTCTTGGCCAGTGTCCCAGGTCCCATGGGCTGGGGCCGGGGGCTCCTTTGACACCAGCGTCCACAGCACCGGCTCCTGGGTGAGTCCTGGGCGGTGAGAGGCGGGATGTGGTGGTCAGCATAGCCAGAGCCTCCCCGTGACAGTGACCCGCCCCGCCCCCCGCCCCTGCTCTCCACACTGCCACCCTGTGGGCACCTCTCAAGGCCAAACTCCGCTCTGAGGCGCTGTCACCTACCGCGTCTCTCCAGGAACCTCAGGGCGTCCAGGTAGCCTTGTCTGCAGTAGTGGACCAACATCTGCCAACACACAGGTCAGGGGGGATGGGGTGCCCAGACCCCCCTAGGCTGATGGTCACAGGCTGGAGACTTGTCTTCAACTGGGAGTGATTCCAGCCGCTCCCCAGGAGACCGCGCAAGGGCCCTGGGCCCAGCGCTGGGCCGGGAGGGACCTGGAACCGCCCTCCACGCCCTCCACTGCGGCTCCCCCGCTGGGGCTCCTGCTCCAGCCCCTCCCCTCTCTGGCCTCAGTGCCCTCCTGGGGCCGAGGATGCCCGGGACAGTGCCTGGGACGGTGCCCGGGATGGTGCCTGGTGCCCATAGGTCAGTGGAGGATGGATCTCTTCGGTCTCCGTTACCAGGACCGGCCTGAGATGGCCGAGGAACCCTGGGGCCCTGCCCAGCTGCTCGGTCAGAGCCCCACAGCGGGGAAGAGGCCCCCGTGGGCCGGGAAGTGGCTCCGCCTCCCCTTGTTGTGTGACCTCGGGGCGGCCACGCGACCTTCCTGAGCGCCTCGCGGCCTCTCTGCGAAATGGGCTGAGATGTCTGTCCACCCCCCCTCTGGAGGTCAGAGAAAAGGAGCCCGTGTCCCACTTGTTCCTTATATTATAAAACCCTACACACCCGGGCGAATGTGGAGAACAGCGGGGGCCCGGCTGGTGGCGGGAGGAGTACCTTCTGATGAAAACCTGTTGGTTGTCAAACTACCTATTTTCCAGAAATACTGAGGGGCAAAAAGCAGGAAAAGTGGGTCTGTTGTCCGCCTTTTCCTGAGCGTACGCCTTGCCTCCACACGGCGGGTCACCCGGCCAGAGTCTAGGGCAGCAGGAGGAGGCCCGGCGGCTGGCTGAGGCTGGGAAACCTGGCTTTGCAGTTTCTGGGCTGTGTGACTTCGAACAAGTCACTTAACCTCTCTGAGCTGCGGTGTCCTTTCCTGAGAAACGGAGATGATAAGGGTGCCTTCTCACAGAGCCTGGCCCAGGGGAGCACGGCGGGCCCAGTAGGGTTGGCGCTGCCCCGGCGGGCGCCAGTCTAATGCCACACCCGCTCAGGGGGTGCTTCAGGCTGTGGGTTCGAGACCTGGACTGTAAGACTCGGGACATGTGTCTCAACGGCCCTGAGGCTGCGGGGAGGGTTCAGGGGCACAGAGTCTGACACGGGGCCCTGGATCGTGGCCGAGGCTCTCACCCCTTCGAGGCTGGACGCCAGGGCCAGGCCTACCTCGGGGCTGGGCGCGAGGACACAGGTGAACCCCAGGTAGAAGTTCCTGGTGGAGAACTGGAAGCTGGCGTTGAAGGCGTTCAGCTCGAGCATGTTGGCCGAGGTGCTCGGGGGGCAGATGTCCACCGTCCCGGTGAAGGGCGACACGGTGATGGTGCTGGGACAGTCCGAGAAGGGCAGGTTGTTGCTCAGGGCCCCGTCGAAGTAGCGCTGCAATTGGGGCAGGAGTGCTGCCTTCAGGACGCCCGCCCTCCGGCCACACCGCGAGGAGCACCCGGTCAGTGGCCGCAGCCGGTGACCCTGTGGCTGCCCGAGTCACGAGGTCTGTCGAGCTCAGGGTACTCTAGGGTACCCTCTCTGAGCAGCCCAGGGGCAGGGGCGAGGCTGGCACACAGTAGGTGCTCAAGGTGTGTGGTGCCCTCCACCCACACCTCTCCCCAGCAGGTGCCGGGGGCTGAACGCACAGAGCAGGGCCTTGGCCACTTACCTCCCCTCTGAATTCGGGGGGGATCACCCCACAGTAGAAAGGGATGTACAGGGTGCAGATCAAGGCCTGGGAAGACAAGAGTCCAAGGAGACAGTTGTTCATGCTCCTTCTGCTCAGAACTGCTCCGAGCACCGTCTAACCCAGCCGTGGGCAAACTACGGCCCCGCGGGCCGGATCCAGCCCGTTTGAAATAAATAAAACTATTGAAAAAAAAGACTGTACCCTTTTGTGTAATGATGTTTACTTTGAATTTATATTAGTTCACACAAACACTCCATCCATGCTTTTGTTCCGGCCCTCCGGTCCAGTTTAAGAACCCATTGTGGCCCTCGAGTCAAAAAGTTTGCCCACCCCTGGTCTAACCCCAGGAGAGCCCGCCACGTGGGTGCTATCGGTCCTGGGTCCCAGGAGAGGTCTGAGGCGCAGGGGCCATTGTCCCAGACACATTCTCAGGGTTAAGGGGTTTGAATGCAGCCCGTCTCA